ACCATTATAGGTAAAATAAGCATTATAATTCAGATATGTTCACTTTGTCCACGATCCTATTCATTTTTCCAACTCTAGACGTTACTCCCTTCTTTCCTAACGTCTGAGGTATGAGCATGTCAGCTTCAGAAATTGATGACTGATGCGTGTGCAATTGCATGCTCTAGGGAATGTCAAGACCTACCCTGTTCGCTGCCGGTGTCTAAGGTAAGGACATTCATTTATCTCGGTGCATATCATTGAGCTTCAGCGCTCCTCAAACAGAACATCCCTGACATGTGATTTGCAATTCCTTCAAACTCTTTTTTTGCTCGACTGTATCAATTTACACTGTACCAATACAACGTCTCCTACTTCCTTCCACACCTTCCTTTCTTATGCTGGCTCCCAAACTTTTCGAGTCATTCAACTCGAGAAGAATAAACTTTCTTTTTGAAGTTTCAGCAACAATGACATCCGTGTACGAACGAGTGGCCGCCTTCTTTTCATCATTCATATTGAAAGTGATTATTGCAATTGTTCAGTTAAAGTCGCGGAAAGAATGTTGATGCGATGAAGAAGTATGAATGTCAAGCTTCTCAGCGAGTATAGTGCAAGTAATTTGCAAGTTCTAAAGGTTGTTGTCGTACAGAGCAGTACAAAGATATCAGTATTGAGCGTAATGTCAGACAAGCTGGAATACTCCCTACTGTGTTAATCATGCTAAGTACCTACTTTCAAGTCTTTTGAAATGCCTTTTGTCCTACAAGGGAATGGAGCTGGCACGATTCCAAAAATTTGGCTAAAAATGCAAGTATTGGCAGCAGCGATTTAGATGACAGCCAGAAACACTTTTAAGCGGAGGAAATCAATAAAAAGCCACTGTTTTCAATGTGCAACGATATTGATAACAAACATTTATGCTACGCATGATAACAAGTGATTCGTAGGCCGGTGTGATCTGAACAGGTGGCACTGGCGGGAAAACAACTGATTTCAATTGATTTTTGGCAATCTCAAAAGACCAACCTGCCGACATTTCAGTGATGCGTATGCGTATGCGTAAACGATTTTGTTTACAGACATCATAGGATATAAATGCTTGAAGTGCACTCACTTATGAAAGCAAGTCCTTTACAAAAGCTTTCTCTCCGTTTCACACTCGACCACCTAAGCGAAGCTTACCAGACAGACCTAGAAAAGATTTCAAGATCATCACGCATTTGATATAAATATGAATAGCCACCATCTATGTGTTCAAGTGAGGCTTTCAAATCATTTATGTATTAAAGAAACTGCTTGGAGCAAGCAATGCCGGAACTGTTGGGTCTCCAATTAGTTGGTAGTTTTCCAAGCCCTAAGCCACAAAGACACCTTCTAGTTTTCTGAGATGGCACGTGATGCTAAAGACAGGGGTCGTTCGACACTGTAGTTTCCTTATACTGCTGAGCTAAGCAGCTACCATACCTTCTGCAGTTGTTCCGTTTGCTCAGCTAAACTCCTCAGGCGATCAGCTCTTAGTCTAGATAAATCCAATGAAATAGGGGTTTGACTGCGTTCACATGGAAATAGTCATACACCTGACTGCACTTAATTATGGTGCAAGAGCAACCAAGCCATTAGGAGATGCTTGGACGTGGAGGGGACACCGCTACTCGAACATCATTATCCCAGAATTTTACAAGCTATAAAATTTAACGAATATGAACCAAAAGCTTACCAGTGCACAAATGCACGTTTAGCGTACTTCAGGTCAAACTGTCATAAAGACGAGCCCATGCCTCCGCGATAGCAGTCGTGTTCGACAACATGCAGGCACAGGGCCCGGCACGAGCCCGTTTCCAGGGTTTTCAAAAACGAAGTCCCCCCTTTCGAGAATTTTACGAAGTCCCCTTTGACCCTTGCCTATCCCCCCCCCCCCCGCCCTCGCCATCATAGTCTGGATCAACAAGCGCATGACATACATTTCCAAAGGATCTTTAAGTATTTCCATGACGCCTTTTGACTCCAACAAACCATTGTTGACCATTCTCATACAGACCTGAGATTGAAAAATTGGAAAAAAATTAAATTGAAAAAAATTGAAAAATCCAGCGAAAATCAAGGCTCCGATGGAATATACTATAGAAGACTTCTGGCGGATGGTCTTCCAAGAAGGATGTCCACACATTGTCAATTCAACAAAGGTATCCCTGGCCTGAATTCCCCTAACAGGCTTCACCTAACCAAATTTCAGATTATTGAGATGGTAAAGTAAAAAGTACGCAGTATTGGCCATTGCAAGAGCTGGTCAGTATCAAAGTTCGGAAAAATGTTTGTCAAAACTAAAAAGGTAGTAAATATCAGATCTTAGGCCTGAAAATGTGAACATTCCCTAATTCGAGCTCTATATTAAGGTATGATATACAAGGTAAAAGTCTTACCTAATGGTTGCTCTATTCATAGAAGTGAAGATCGGCATGCTAATCAAAAATTGCAAATACAATATCATCCAGATGATTCAAGGTACTCCATATGACCAACTGGCCAGATCGTGGCCTACCTATGAGCGGTCGCCATGTGCTTCGTTTGATTCTTCAAGTTAGAGTAAGCATGACCACGCAAAAGCTGCCTTATCGAACTTTCAGAATCTAAATTTAGCAGCTCAGACGGTAGAATTTTTTGCTTTTTAGGGTGACAAATTGGACAACGGCCCTATAGTGATGCTTGCTCGGCTGGAGTAGGCAGAACTGGCACAGTCATTATGATTGACATCATTCTAAGGAAATTATTTAGCTGCAAGGAAGTCGATGTAAGCATGAAAAGAGAAGAAACGTCAATTGTAAAAGATTTATATGTTGAATTCAGATAGTAGAGGGTAATCATTACCCTTCGTAACCAACGCGCATCCTGCACCCAGCTCGAGGGTCAATATGCTTTCGTTATACTTAGCGTTCTTGGTTATAAAAAGGTGAGTACCGAATGCATTTCATCCGTGATTCCGTTTGTACACTTTTTTTGCAGATCAAATGTCCAAAGTACAAGGAACGAGTAAACAAGTACATCGAAGATTTCCGAACTACGATATTTGTTGCACAGTCTTGATAACCTTATGAAAGACAGATAATTCAAATTCAAGCCAAACAGTTGAACGATGAAATGATGACAATAAATTAAAGTCTTGAGGCCATGTGTATTGTTGCGTTAGTTGCGCACGATAGACAAATTTAACAAACATTTTCAATGGCATGACAAATTTTTACCTCCTCTCAACAAAAAACGTCTGAGTAAATCGTAAACGTAGCAATTCATCAACAAGTAATAGCGTGCACAGATCATAAAGTATTACATGTACAAACAAATACTTACATGATTGTAAAGCTGATATTCATTTGTTCCGTCCTCATTTCGTTATGCCATGTTGAGAAGACCCACATATTGCGAGGTTCGTAGTGCGTAGCGTAAGCAACCAGAGTTTTGCAGAACTAAGCATCAAATCCGCGCTCTTCTAGGTAGCGGACAAAAAGCAAGTCGTGGAAATCCTAAATATCTTCATATTGGTAAAAAAAACCGAGAGCAGTTGCTTTAGTGACTGCAAAAAGATCTGTGATCGTGGTTGCTATCACATCCACCTCAATACAGTTTTACACCGATGATTCTTCTAGAGGTTATCAACTCATATCACTGTTGAAACTACTTACAGCGTCACTTTGGATACCAGCAAAAAGATGAAGCATGATACGCAGAAAAAAAAATTAATCAAGATCAGAGAAGTTTTTAACGCTGTTCGTTTCAGGGGCAGAACCATAGCACAAAAAGCAGTCAAATCGCAAATTTTTCTTCAGCCAAACATTCTGATAAGACGAAGTTGAAAAACTATAATACAATGTTCTGAACATCAGCATGTTGCAGTAAAGTTTGAAGCAAACAATTAGACAAGTGAAACGCCAAGTGTACAGATTCCCTGCTTTACACAAAGCCATAAATTCATTATGTAGAGTCACTTACTGGATCGATGTATATGCCACTGCTTGCATAAACCTCAGCAGGGACATCTTCATCGCCTTCTTTGGCTGCAGGAGCTAAATAGAACTGTTCTACTCGAAAACCATCTAAAAGGACAGGTATGGTGCATCCTGAAAAAAAACAGAGCTAAAACTATCGAATACATTCGAAACTCACATTCTCCTGGAACATCAACGCTTTCAACCAAATCAAGATGGAAGCACAGGCGCTCGTCTCCTTTGGCGATCTCGACTGTGAAGGGTGGCACTGCTACAACAAGAACGGACTAAGGAAACACTTAATGTTTGTGGCAAAGCGATCAAGCGGTCAAAATTTCGCTCAAAGCTGGAATATGGCAATAACGCGTAAAATGGCGGTGGAGCGCGATATCTAACAAGGCGATTTTCGGTAAAAAAAGATGATAAAAAACGACGGACAGGGGATGGTATGAAAACGTTTCTATGCTCAGGGATAGATTTTCGACAGGGGCATCCATCCATGCTAACAAGATCCGAAACTTATGTGAAGTGACGAAAATATATGCTCCAGACGTTCTCAGATCGTCTGGTGGCCGTCTGGAGACGATCTAATTTTGGAAAAGGTATTACTTCACATAAGTTTTCAAATCTTTTTACATAATTCTTCCGCAAATAATTTTCTATACGTATAGTTCAATTTTGGTGTCATATAATTCTGTGTGCGCTGTAAACAAGCGATTTGTTTATTTTAGCCTTGCTTTCAAATCGCGCGCACTTTTCGCCATACACGATAGAGCATGTCAATCGTGTGATAGCCTGTCCGAAAAGCTTGTTTTCGTTTGGATGTCGTTTATTCTTGACATAGAGGAGAAAGTGAAGGGATTATCATATCTTATAATGACTGGCTATGGGTGCTTATGTTTTTTGTATTGTGTCTGTCTGAAACAAATCTGCAAATTGCAATTTGAAGACTTGAGACTATGGTCTATCCTGGATCCCAGCCTTAAGGTGGCTTTCTTTTTGGAGTACTCCTTAATGCTTTCAAATGAGGACTTTTAGATGTTGGAGTTGGATAGTGGAGAGTTAGCGATGATCAAGCTGGTGACATCTACGGAAGTGCCTCAAAGATTTGAAAGATCTTGGGTTTAGGACTTAGAGGTAATTTCTTGTTCATTTTCATTGCTCCTGTTTGTTGCATGAATTTTTTGGTGCTTTCATCACTACTCACGTTTTTCATCGAGTTTTCCTTGTGTAATGTGTATTCGGTCTGTTTAGGTTTCAAAGCCAATTAAACCATTCCTGGAAACGAGTGTGTCAGATCCTCAATTGGCAAGCATCCAGATCCACGAGCAAACTTCCGTAAGACCTACTAATTTTCCTAGAAACTGAGTTGATCTCTCGATCACTTACTCCACCATAAATGTTTCTCTCAAATTCTTGTTTAGGAATGCCATCTCAGTAGCGACTCCCTCTATATTCGTTTGAGGGTTGCTACGCTACTAGATGAAGTGGTAGCTTTGCTTGAAGAGTCGGCAGAGATTCTGAAGTCTTTAAGAGGAGGGCATGTAGATGACACGACTTTGACAGAATTCAAGTGATACGTTTAGTGCCGTATCTTTGTGTACTGCTCACTCATACCTTTTCCAGTGCGAAGCTGTTGGCTGTTTGCGAAGAGAGTCTGCAATATTATCGAGGATCTTGGTGGTACAAAAGAGCAAAGAAGAGATCGCTGAACTTGTTGAGAGGGTCAGTGGATGAAAACCTAAAAATCTTGGAAAAGATTTTGAAATTTTCCAGATTTGGTCTTTTGGTCCAGGCAGAGCCAAAGCTAACATTCTCATCAATGGAATATCTAACTTATAGACCTATATGGGACAGCAGTGAGTGACTTGCTATTCAATTTCCACCCTCCTCAAGCTTTCAGAATCCGAGCTGGACATGTGCAAAAATTTTGTTCCGGGGCTTTGCCCCGGACCCCACAAAAACGATGTCCCCTTTGCTTTTTGCTCCAAAAACGAAGTCCAGCCTGCTTCTAGACGATCTGTGCCGGGCCCTGTGCAGGCAGCACGAGGTAGCTTTACAATGTCACAACCGAGAACAGAAGAGAGTTGATAACTGATGCCGATATGAACATCAGATGAACAATGAACATTCATCTACCATTGTATATTAGATGTCGAACGTTGCCTTGAATCTTGTGAAACGCCAGTTAACAAACTGACTACTGCGTTTGGCCTTGATGGCAGAAATAGACTGGTTCACATTTGGAACGACATCTCCGCGATATAGCAAGCAAAGGCCATGTACTTCTCATTGCGAGGATCGCACTTGACTAGCTGGTTTGAAGGCTTAAAACACAAGGTAACATCATTTACAGACAAGACTTCGTGGTAGGCTTAAACATTGGGTTTCAAGGGACGGCCAAATACAATACAATAACACAAGTTGAAGATCTCTGAAGAAGTCACGTCTTTGACAAAATCGTGGGCACTTGCAGGTAGCAGGGTCAAGAGAACTCCTTTTTTGAAATTCAAGCACCGGCAGTAGTTTTTACTTTTTTTACAGCGCAGGCGCATTCTTCGTCACTTGTATCTTCTAAAAAATGACATTTCTTACTTTGAATCGCTTTGGATGAAAATGAAAAAAACTACAACGCCATCAACTGAAAAAAAAACTGAATATTTTCAAATTTTGGCGTCGACTAACTATGACGTTGCGTATACCTACCTACGATCCATGCAGACTATGACGTGGCGTGGCATAGTGAAATTCCGGTCTTGTACTATCTCTGCGTCTCGGCGCTGAAGCAACCATTTCCTATCCAATTTGTTACAAGCTGTACAACTCGTGCCAAGCCCTTCTTTCTAACACAAGCTCTGACACGAGCTTCTGTCCCGACACCCCTCTACCGCACCAGGCGGCTATGATAAGAGATACCCGCCGAATCGACTCTCCTTGTAGCAACTCGCGCTCGGCGCAAACTATGCTGCGACCCCCACATCGCCGTAGGAGGGGGTGGGAGTACTGCTGTTTCTTATGTTTACATGTCTACAAGCAAATAAATTGAAAATATCAAAGATTGCTTTTTGTTGCTTGTATCGTATAGTTTGCACCTGGTAATCTCTCGGCGTTCCGGTAACATAAAGAAATGCTATGTTGGTTTGGTATTGCCATAGTAATTCTCAAATCCAACATTAGCGGAATAATACTGCAAGCCATAAAAATGATCTAGAAAACTGTTAAAAATCTAACTTGGGTTGTTTAATTAATGGTTTCTTACCGAAAATCACAACAGTGAGAGCATAACACGAAAAATTTATCCCTTTATTACTTTTCAATCTCAAAGAGTTCAAATTTTATTCTCGAAGCCTTTTTCCTTGCTGAATGTTAGGGTGTTCGATAGGCGATAATAAGTGGGTAATGGCTTTGTTTTTATTCCTACTATGGGAGTTGATATACTTGTCTACGCCCGCTACTTTTGAGCACGTTTATATAAGTAAACTTTTTTTTTCAAAGAAAATTAGTGCTCACAGCGTGGAGAGGGGGAAGGCGCAACCGACTAAAGGTGGAGTGCGCCTGTGTTCGTCCTGTGGACAAGGACTGTACACCAGGGCCGGCACGAATCGGTTTCTAGGGTTGAGGAATTGAGGAATTCCTCAATTCTGATAACTTCTCGTAAAAATTTATAACCTCTTTGTTTACTGGCAGTTGCTCAGCAACAAAGCGCAAAAACAATCTTCTGGCCAGAAACAAAGCCTTATATGTCTTCAAAAGGAACAATGTCCTAGTCAACACATATTTATTTGGGACAACGAATATCAGAACTATTCTGAACTAGAAAAAGGAGCAAATTCCATTTCTCAAGCAAATTTTGATAAAATTTCGATCCAGTCAAAATCCACTTCTTCTTTGCATATAACAAAAAGTACTATGAATCATTACTTTTCACAAATACTAGCTGGCTTACCCGGCTCCGCCGTATGTTCCGAATAGAAAATTCCATTTCTTAACCGATCCGGACCAAACTTGGCACACATACACTTCGGGCCAAGGCGGGTGTCACAGTCCACTTTTCGTTATCGATCGATGTCGATTTTATCGATTTTTTGCAAAATTTGAGCTAGGGGGCTGAAATTTGGCAGAGGGGTGTAATCGAGCATGCTGATCACCCCCACGGGGGTGATCAGCATGCTCGACCCATTCTCCGAGGGGGGGGGAGGCGCCCCCCCCCTCCGAGAATGGGTCGCGAAATTTTCGAAAGTTACTTATATGGGTTATAAAAATGCGCAAGTAACTTGTCTATAATTTTAAAAAATTAAAATAATTTTTTAAAATTTTTGAAAATTTAATTTAGCCTTGTAAAAAAAATTTTCAGGGGCGTGGCGTCAGCCACGCCCCCTTTTTTCAGATTTTAGGGGTTGGGAACCGGCAAAAATTTTGAGAAGCACCCCTAGAATCTTTTCGGAATGCGTGGCGTTAGCCACGCACCTTCATTCGAAAAAAATTTTTGTCGCGCCCCTCTCCCCTCCCGAGAGGAAATCCCGGGTACGCCACTGCTAGAAGGGTGTTCGATATGCGAGCAATTTCAAACTTAGAATGAGACCTTGTTTTCACTCCTTCTGGGAAGTCGAAAGTCGTAAGCATTTGTAGTCGAGACTATACTTTTCAAGAAAATATCCCGCGTTTATGTCGAAAACGACCCTCAGTTGTGAATGTACTCCAGCATAATTTGTATTTCTATGTATAGTGCATACAGCACACACATATGATTCCAATCTGAGTGTCACTCTCGGCGCGGCTCGTGCCCTCGCGTCCTGCGTCGCATGGGTCCCTCGCCGCTTTTGCTCTTGAAGGACACGTGTCTTAGCACGTCTCAAGCTTGGGAAACAACGTAACCTTCTGTGGAGGCCAGCGTGGCATCTTCCTACTTCTTCACCCTGTTCGCAACCGGACCACGTGTGAAGGGCTACCAGTGCTCGGCCGCGAAACTTTGCAGAAAAACCGACATATTCCAGATGTTGCTTTCTGAAGTTGCATAGGTCCCAATGATATTCGAGGCCCTCCTTTCACATCGTACTAAGTAGAATTCTAATTAGTCAACTAATCTTAGATTTTTTTTATTTTAATAACTCACTCTCCTTTCTAATTAGTCAACACTACAGCGCATACCCTAAGAACTCGATTATTTCCCAAACGCGGTAGATGGATCCTTGAATATTTTCCACCATAAAGAACATTCGTTACCTTAAAGGCACCGTCCACCCAGATTTTCGTCTTTCACGTTTTTGTCGTTTCAGGGCCTTCTCATGTCCCTGTCAAATATGAAGTCGAGAATGCTCGAAAGCCCCAATAAACTCCGTTTCAGAGAACCGACAGACCGGCTTTCCGTAACGGTGATTAGATGGGCGCGCACAAATGGGCGGGCATGGATGGAGGTCCTCGTGCATCTTCGCTATTCCGGAGCGACATTTTGCGCCGCGACTTGGGCATTGGATTGATAGGGGGCTCTACTATTATATGCTGCCATAAGCTCAACACCCTCAACTTAGGGTGGACGGTGCCTTTAACCTTCAACATATCCCCGCTTAAGAAAAAAAAGCTGAAGCTAACCTGTAATCGAACATAATTACTGTTTGACTACAGATTGAAATACAAAGATTCCTTTAGAAAACCATTTCAGAGAATCATATAAAGGAGGTGCGGTTGACAGAGTTATTACACGGCACGGGTTCCTAAGCCGTGAATGAATTATATGCGTTGCCACTTGGGCAGTGCTTTAGCTAGAACCCCCTCATAAGTTTCCAGGCAAAAACCCATGCGTTCAGATTTGCCTGGACACTGCCCTTAAGGAACTGATTTTTTGGCATTTTTCTCAAAAATCATAAATTTTCTAGTAAAAGCTCGATCAGCGCGGGTTTTGCTTACAATTAGTTAGAGTAGTGGATTAAGAACTGGGTTATGTTGTGTAAAAGTTGAAAGGAGTGTTGGACGGCAACTGAGCGAAATCGAGTTCTCTCAGGTAGTATTTTTTAAGATACAAATGCTTGTTGCTCATTCTATGCTATGTCCGTTTTGATTTTCGACTCTTCAAGACACATTGAGTTCAGGCACACCAACTCGCTGCCTCCGAGCTCAAGATCACAGACCCTAAAGGACCCTGCCTTTTTTATTCCTTTGTTTTATACAAAACTAAGTATCGTGCGTTCAACTTTTATTTGCAATCAAAATAAGTCTTCATCATTCACAGAATAGCAGTTCTGCAGGCAGTCTCTCACTTCGTTGAAGTTTTGGTTACCTTTCTCCAACCAACTGACGTAACAGTTTTGCGGGCACTGTAATCAATATACTTTAGAAGCAAATCCCAAACAGTGTTTAGATATGATCTCACAAAGCCAGTGAATCCGTTATTCGTATAATTCAATTTATCAAATCCATTCAATGCGTATAGATTGAATCCACATTCATTTCCAGTAGCAGACTTGCAAGCATTATCATGACCAGAATTATCAAATGCATTTCCGTTTGCTGAAAAAAATATTTTGCATCAATTGGAGAACCGAGCTGTTGAATTCTATTGGGCTTCGGTCATGTAACTGAGTAGGTTTTCACTGCCAGTAATTGGATCAAATGTGAAAGACCAAGTTCCGCAACCGAATGCAAACCAAGTCGCCCGCAATCAAATGTTAACGCGGAGCAGGGCTTGGCATGAAATGGCTTTTTCAATTTTTCAAAAACGAAGTCCCTTAGACTTCGCCACAAAAATACGACATTTCCTATGGGGTGCTCACAATTGGATTAAACACGAATAATAATGAATAATGGAATAAAACTCAAAAAAACTAAAGAGGTTTGTAATTCACAAATTAGCAACACGTTGTGCTCGGAGCG